AAATAAAATAAAATAAAATAAATAATATATATATATATATATATATATATATATATATATATATATATATATATATATAAATTAATATATATAGATATATATATATAACCATACAATCACATTATGTGATTGGGTGGCCGTGTACTCACATAAACTGTAGCACCTATCGCACATCCGTCCATTTGCACACAGCCTGAGAGACTAGGGTGTAACCGAGCAATCGCTGCCTGTACAACCTGGCTCTGATAAGCCAGCATCTACGCAATGCCGCACCAGGCTACGATAGACCCCTGCAAGCTCATACTGGTGCACTAAGCCTTTGCCTGGTCGGGTGCTCGCTTTGGCTGCGGTTGCGGTGGGTAAGTATACGACCGCACACTTGCTATCACGTATGGGCTGCTGGGTCCTTCTACCCCCTATTAGTACGTATGGGTTGCTGGGTCCATCTACCCCCTTCTAGTACGTATAAGTTGATATCACGTATGGGTTGTTGGGTCCTTCTACCCCCTTCTAGTACGTATGGGTTGCTATCACGTATGGGTTGCTGGGTCCTTCTACCCACTTTTAGTACGGATCGGTTGCTATCACGTATGGATTGTTGGGTTCTTCTACCCCATCGTAGTACGTTCTTCTACCCCATTGTAGTACGTATGGGATGCTATCACGTATGCGTTGTTGGGTCCTTCTACCCCCTTCTAGTACGTATGGGTTGTTGGGTCCTTCTACCCCCTTCTAGTACGTATGGGTTGTTGGGTCCTTATACCCCCTTCTAGTACGTATGGGTTGCTATCACGTGTGCGTTGTCAGGTCCTTCTACCTCATCTGGTCGCACACTTGTCTAGTGGCCGTAATACCACATGTGCTGTGGTAAGACGATTATATAAATACGTATTGGTTGGTCATCTCGTGGCTGCATGGTGGCTGCTCCTAGAGAGACCTCCACGCATACCCTCCAGCAGGCGTTGAACAGACTATACCGAATTCTATTGGACGATCTTACACTCGTATGAAGATATTAAGATCCGTCACAATGGGACACGACACACGTGTGTATGCGACACAGCAACCCAGGATGAAAGTGTACAAACGTTTCTGTATACCCTTCCGTATCTATGGCATCACTCTACGGACTATCTACCAGGCTAGTCACCACAACCACTCCACGGCTACAAGAGGCAACACTTCTTACAGATCCACGAGTCTTTGTATCTCTAACAAAAAGCGTTAGAATAAACTACGATACGCAGATAACTGTGCGTGGATGTAGGTTCACGGCTCAAAGTACTCGTCTACGTCCGTATACTCGTCCGTGTCACTATCCGCACTCGATGGGCTGGCTGTCAGGTCAACCACCACCCCCCCTTCACCACTAGCCGACGGTAGCTGTCGCACAGATCCGCGGGTCTTCTTATCTCTATGCGTGTGTGGACGTTGGGATGCCCTGGTGTTCGTGTGTACAAAACTGTCGCACGGTGATGGTGTATGCGACGGCCCTGTCTGAAATGTCGTACTGGCTGTACACTCTGCGGTGTGATCTGACGCCGTGAACGCGTAGGTCGGCGACGGACTGTGAAACAGTTCGTCGTCACTGCTCAGACTTTGGGTTGAGTCTGTGTCCGTGCCATTCGTTGTGTATCTAGTGGCTGTGGTTGATTCCCTATCTCCTGTGCACTGTACGAGATCGGTCAAGGGATAGAACCTCCGTTCCTTGTGCGGGCGTTTGCGCCGTTCTAGCCCAAACAGCCACACAATGGGAATGAACAGAGCCCATCGACACGTCTCTATGGCGAAGAACAGGTTGTTTTGCATCACCTGTGTGTATAAGGAGGTGAGGGATAAGAAATAAGAAATACAACGCTTGCGCTTCTAGATTATCAAGCATATTTGATGTTGTCTTGCATCACCTGCATGTACAAGGATGTGAGGGATAAGAGATAAGAAATACAACACCTCCGCTTCTAGACGGCCAAGACTGTTTGATGTGCATGTTGGTACGTACTAGCTCACGGTCTATGCTAGGCCCTGTCGATCAGAGGGTAGCAGGTTTGCATCAGGCACATCATGCATGCCTGTCAAAGCATGTGAAAGTGGGACCACTGTGTACATACATATATGCAATAGCCATCGAGGCGTACGCTTGGAATCCGGTGGTATTGTCAGACGGTGTGTGCTTGTGCATACACGGTATATATTAGAATACCACTATCACAGCCACAAGCTTCTGTTCACGCACCCAGGCCATACATCCTAGGTCACATCCCAGGGCTCGTGGGGTCTGGTGCCTGGACTCTGGGGACTTGGGTTATGGGTTAATGGGCTTCAGCCTTCAGACTTCAGACCTGTCGCAGGAGCGCAAAATGCACCAATATACACGCTAATATACACCTGACACGTACACTCACATTCAATTGATACTATGTTCAATACGGGACTCAGACGACCCGGCAGCAGGTTGCATGAACATATTCACTCACAGTCACAGCACGGACGAATATCGATTTGAAGCGCTCAGCGATTGATGTCATAAAGTAGGGCCACTGTAGATGCATATTCATGGACAGTCCATGGGTAGTAATAATCCATGGATAACGCATGGATACCACATGTCCCTCTGTACTACAGGATTTGTCGAGGAGGACATCAGGAACAGCACTTGTTCCTTTGGTAGGACATAACTTGGTTTTGGACCTGGGGTTCGGAGCCATACTGGCCAGTGCGGTCACAGAACAATACACATGTTGTTTACTATAACCGTTGCATAGATAAACTGAGAACACACCCAACACGAGCACAACGTAGACGCGATACACACTAGACACAGCACAATTGTCCATTCTTCGCATGCATGACAGACTATAGACTATATACATAGAATATGCATAGAGTGTTTACCTGACTATATACATAGAGTGTTTGCCTGAATACATAGAGTGTTTTCCTGACTATAGACATAGAGTGTTTGCCTTAGGGACGCAAACCGTGAGTAGAAGACAAAAGAATAGAATAACACGGCGTGAAGTATCCGACGTACCCGTAATTTGGCTTTTTGGGATGTTTTTGTCCCATATTTTCCGTTCCTTGAGAGACCGCTGCCGTCTGAAAATGGACTACTGTCCTCCTTCTCGCTCAGATACCCACAACACTGCAGAATCATAAGAGCAGCAGAATTAGCCAAGTTATAACCGAGGGAGTCTGGTACATGGGTGACTAGTGCGCATCTGTCAGGCACACGGTTTAAATTGACTATAAATAGCCATACGGATATTCAAAAGATTTGGCAAGCTTCTGGTCGAAGATATTGTAAGTATATCTAAGACGCATTCGAATCTAGATCAATCCAAAGACGCGGACAAGTGACAGTCGATGGATAAAATGTATTAATCAATGATCTGCAAAAGATTTAAATATGGGCTAAACACTGAAATGGTTGCTTATAGAGGATATGATATTCCACACTTACCAACCGATGTACTAGATTAATGGTGAAAGATGTTAAGGTAGACTATAGGGACTCCATACTTGACATAGTTACACATACATAGTAGTATGTACTACACGGACTGTGCTATGCAGGGTCTTGTCATGCATAGCTGGTGATAGCGAAAAAGCCAACATACGTGCCTTCATATAAACTTATCACAACTTTAAATGCGTACCTACATTAATGCACACAGATTAGATAAATTTGTAACAATTCATGTGAAAACATAATAAACAAAATCAACAGTATTGTTAATCGAAAAGCAAACAGACGCCCTCATTGATCCAAAGATGTATATATACAGATACAATTTACGGTGTAAATATAATAGGTAGGTTATGTGTGCACGTTTACCCTAAATATATGTATATGAAACATATACATGACTAATACACATACATAAATTAAAACAGAATTATCAAAGTATCTATATACATATACATATACATATACATATACATTTACATATACATATAGACACACATATATATATATATGTATATGTATATATACATATATATATATATATATATATATATATATATATATATATATATATATATATATAGTATACTATAATATATATATATGTATGTATGTCTGTGTCTATATATATAAATAAATATATATATATATATACATATATATATAGATGCG